CAAGCAGAGAATGTGGGCCACTATATAAACGGCTGAGACACTTCCTCGCTATCAAACACCAGCCATGTCTCTCAAGGTACGAACGCTCTTCCTTATTCTCCTCTGTAGCTGTAACTGAATGGGAGAGAAAACAGCGTATATAACTTATAGTGTGGTTTCTATAGTCAACATAAATCTCAAGCTCGATTTCTGTGAATCAGTGAATTATTTATGTTTCAGGTGATCCTCGTAGCGTGTGTGGCCGCGGTGGCTCTGGCCGACAAGGCTCCTGTGCATCTGCCACCTGTTTATGTACCCACGTACCACGCTCCCGAACCAGTCTACCATGCCCCTGCTCACTACAAGGAGCCTGAATACCCAACCGTAAGTATGATATGGTTAAGTTGGCTATCGTCATCTAACAATGATTCATATGAATCTACTTTTTGTGTGAACTTGGATTTAATGTTATACTCTTTAATCAGGTCCCACCCAAATACAACTACAACTACGGCGTCGCCGACGGTTACTCCGGCGCCAATTTCGGCCACACTGAGTCCCGCGACGGCTACAAGACCGAGGGCAGCTACACCGTGGATCTCCCCGACGGCCGCAAGCAGATCGTCAACTACGTGGACAACGGCGACGGTCTTGTAGCTGAGGTCACCTACGAGGGCGAGGCTCAGTACCCCGAGTACACCCCCACCTACAAGCCCGCTCCCTACCACGCTGCCCCCAAGTACCCCGTGTACTAAAGCTGTACCTTCAGAGTCATACATCTTTGTCAGACTTTTGTATCTGCTGTGTCTATTCAATGTACAGCCAGATTAAAACTGCATGGATGGGCGAATATGTGATACTGTATAAATATTTTTTATAATAAAATATACAACAAATATTTATATATTGTTTATTGTGACCGAAATTAAAGCTACAATCAAAGAAACAGTCACTAAATTATAAGAATATAAAGAATGATAAAAAAAGTCATTGTATTGCTATTATTCTTACTTTTAAAAATTATCCAGAATTTCTAAAACTTTTTTTTTTTTTTTTTTTTGCAAAACACTGAAATACATTCAAAATTGCATTTGATCCTCTTATCGCCAACATTGCATAGCATTATCCTAGAACAGGAAATAGGTTGCAACTTGCATGAAAGCATTATTATCATAATCGTTGTTATTATACTGTTCTTTTTACTTTGTCAGCATCCACCATTACAAGTTTCATCGTCAATATTATTACTGTTGCAATCATTATTGATAATAGTAGTGTATCGTTATCATTAGAAGTTTTAGTAGTATCTTTATTGATAGTAGTAGTAGTTTAAAACCTTAGCATTCTTTATATCTAAAAACCTATTCCATTTGGCCTCAAAACCCTTATGAAATTGTTTAATGAAGCTCGTGGCGCTCACTATCAGAAACAGACGTGTGTGTGTGGGGGGGGTCTATACCGAGGATATATGATAATGATCTCTCATTTTCTTCTACCATCCCGGTATCATTTTTGGCAAAATAATGAAATTGGTAATAGATACGAATATAATGATAATAATAATGATGTCTGATTTGGTTGATAGTACGAAGTGTTATTCACTCTTAGTTCGTTATACTATTCATTATGTACATTTCATCACTGGGTTTACATGACCACTTGAACGTTTGTAGGGGGGATTGGAAACGTTTACAGATACCTCGCTACATAAGGATTTCCTCGTCTTTCATGCAGTTTGTGATATTTTTTTTATCCATACTACCAGAGTTTAATCTGAAGTAATATTTCTATATTCCAAGAAACTCACATACACACAAATACATATGCGTGTGTTTGCGTGTACTCCTCCTACACCTATGATATATAACAATTTTCTTAATACCCTTATATTCTAGGAATCTTATTAATAATTATTATTTTCTTTATTTTTATCGTCATTATTAATTATTATTGTTATAAAAATAATATAATATTTTTCATATCCTGATTGCGATCAATTTCATTATAAGAGATTTTGCGTGTGTGTAGCTATGATATGTGTATGTATAAATCTATGCTTGTAAGTAGTGCTATCAACATATCTAAGTATATCTAATATAATCGCCCCATATAGCAAGAATACACTGTAATATAAGTTTATTTATTGTATTTACACATAGATAACTATACAAGTATTTAATCACTTAGGAGTCAGTTATTAGTCCTACTTATCTCACCTGTTTACCCTTTTCCTCGACTTTTGGAAAGGGTCTTTTGCATTAATTGTCAAATGTTATCGAGATTTTGATAACAATAAATCTGATACTGGCATGGCTTGAAATGCTTTCCCTCACAAGCGAAGGCGAGTGACCTTGAACTCGTCCCAGCAGAGAATCGGGACCACTATATATACGGCTGAGATACTTCCTCGCCATCAAACATCAGTCATGTCTCTCAAGGTATGCACACTCTGTAACTGAATGAGAGAGAAAACAGCATGTATAACTTATATTGGGGTTCATAAAGTGAACATGAATCTCGATTTCTCTGAATCAGTGGATTATTTGTGTTTCAGGTGATCCTCGTAGCGTGTGTGGCCGCGGTGGCTCTGGCCGATAAAGCTCCTGTGCATCTGCCACCTGTTTACGTACCCACGTACCACGCTCCCGAACCAGTGTACAATGCCCCTGCTCACTACAAGGAGCCTGAATACCCAACCGTAAGTAATGTGTTGTATGGTTATGTGGTTTAATGTCATCTAAAGAAGGTTATGAAAATACTTCATTCAATGTTATACTCTTTAATCAGGTCCCACCCAAGTACAACTACAACTACGGTGTCGCTGATGGTTACTCCGGCGCCAACTTCGGCCACACGGAGTCCCGCGACGGCTACAAGACCGAGGGCAGCTACACCGTCGACCTCCCCGACGGCCGCAAGCAGATCTTCAAGTACGTGGACAACGGCGACGGTCTTGTAGCTGAGGTCACCTACGAGGGCGAGGCTCAGTACCCCGAGTACAAGCCCACCTACAAGCCCGCTCCCTACCACGCTGCCCCCAAGTACCCTGTGTACTAAGGGCGTACATTCACAGTCATGATATCTCTGTTAGACTTTTGCTTCTGTCGTGCAGATGAAAACTGCATGGATGGACGGTATATGTGATACTCCTAAAATATTTTTATAATAAAATAACCCGACAAAAATCATGGCTTGCTTATTGTGACCGAAAATCTGAATTTTCAGAATTCACGAAAATAGGCATCGGAAATGAAGTTAAGGGGGAAAAGTCACTTAAAAGATTATCTAACATTTCTTAAATAAATAAAACTTGCATGGAAGACACGCCAAAACCCATTCAGATCTGATCCTCTCACTATCATCTCCAGCTTTGTAAGACAATATCGTAGCACATGAAATAGTTTGCATATTACTAAATGCCTTAAGACTTTCAATAAGACTATTTGATTTTGACATTTTTGTCGTTATTACATTGTGAGAGTCACCATCCTCAGCTTCATCGTCAATTTTATTGTTTTTTATGGCTGTACTTGCATTTTTTAGTAGCGGAGGTAGTTTGAAGCGTAGGCAGATTAATCATGCTGGCCTTAACAACATGATTAACAAAATCAATTTCCAAACGGCCTCAAAAAGAACTAGAAATTGTTTATGCTCGCGACACTCACTGTTAGAAATAGGTGAGGGGGTGTTGTCCAAGAAATGCCTTGCCTTACCCTATTGATGACATATGATTATGTTCTTAATACCTACATCTTCTGTCATTCCGTAACTTTCTTTGGCAAAATAATGAAGTCACTAGTAAATCTTTTCATAGCAATAATAATCATATTAATAATCCTAATAGTGTTTAATTAAAAATAACACCAATAATGTCAGTTGGTTGATGGTAATAAATGCCCATCATATAACATATATAAAGCACTCAATATCAGTGTACATTTCATTATCGGATGGACGTTTGTAAGAGGTATTAGAAACGTTTACAAAGCCTTCACCACATAATGGTGTTCGTCTTGTAAACCGATCAAGTTGAATATTTGTGGTAAAATGGTTTTCCATGTCAATGATTCCCTATCTTTACACCTGAAGGAAAGCTTGCGTGTGTGTATGTGTGTGTATGTCTGCGTGTGCATATAGATAATTTATAAATTGCTCCTAATATTTCTCATGTTTTTACTAATAGGTTATCAGAAGCTACAAATATTTGTCTTCCCACACGCCAGCATTCTTGACCATCTGCTGTTTAGTTTACATAAGAAACGTACATAGCATGATTTTGCAGATAAGTTCATTATCAATTAATGCAGGCGAAGCTACTTTTCTGTATCTGCATCACCGTCATGCATGTAGGTCTCTGGCTGCAGCTTTATAGAAAATTCGGTGAAATTAGCGCATAATATTCAAATGATCATTTTTCTTTTACAAGAATGTAGTCTTTAAGAACTGAATTTTGTGAAGGTACGTTTGTATTATTCCCTTGCGTAACTGTTGATTTTTATTGCATGATTAGTTCACAGCATTTACACAAACATACAATAATAATAAAAACAAAATCTGCACATGGGTGTGTAGCTATGCATATAGTTCTGTAAATTAATACTTATAAACAGCTATTTGAAAATATTCAGTTACGCGAATGTACATGGTTACGTTTTTATGTATATGCATGTATGTAATTATATTTCGATCTATATTATGTTTAGTTCTTTTTTTATGAATACATATATCTATATATTTACAGCCATAATGAAACGGATAAGCAGATAACTAGAAATGAGATAGTAAAATAATAAAAAAAAAAAAAAAAAAAATATTTACAAAATTTTGTCCTTTTCTTTGGTAGTTTATGTTCAACGAGTGAAATAAACAGAAAACTTTATACCAGTAACAAATCTGACTTAAGTATGATCTGAACTGCTTTCCCTCACAAGGTCAGGCGAGTAACCTTGAACTTGTCCAAGCAGAGAATGTGGGCCACTATATAAACGGCTGAGACACTTCTTCGCCATCAAACATCAGCCATGTCTCTCAAGGTACGAAAGCTCTTCCTTATTCTCCTCTGTAGCTGTAACTGAATGAGAGAAAACAGCGTATATAACTTATATTGTGGTTTGTATAGTGAACATAAATCTCAAGCTCGATTTCTCTGAATCAGTGGATTCTTTATGTTTCAGGTGATCCTCGTAGCGTGTGTGGCCGCGGTGGCTTTGGCCGATAAAGCTCCTGTGCATCTACCACCTGTTTATGTACCCACGTACCACGCTCCCGAACCAGTGTACCATGCCCCTGCACACTACAAGGAGCCAGAGTACCCAACCGTAAGTAATGTGTGGTATGGTTACGTTTTCTAACGACATCTAACAAAGATTCTTATGATAATACTTCTATTTCTGTGGACTTGGATTTGATGTTATGCTCTGTAATTAGGTCCCACCCAAGTACAACTACAACTACGGCGTCGCCGACGGCTACTCCGGCGCCAACTTCGGCCACACCGAGTCCCGCGACGGCTACAAGACCGAGGGCAGCTACACCGTCGACCTCCCCGATGGCCGCAAGCAGATCGTCAAGTACGTGGACAACGGCGACGGTCTTGTAGCTGAGGTCACCTACGAGGGCGAGGCTCAGTACCCTGAGTACAAGCCCACCTACAAACCCGCTCCTTACCACGCTCCCCCCAAGTACCCCGTGTACTAAGGCTGTACCTTCACTCATATCTTTGCTAGACTTTTGCATCTGCTGTGTCCATTTTAAATACACTCAGGTGAAAAACTGCATGGATGGGCGAATATGTGATACTCCTAAAATATTTTTTATAATAAAATGTATCGAAAATATACCATCTACTTCTTTCTCTAACCAACTTAACCAAACTGATACTTATGACAAAAGTCTCTAAACCGTAGGGAAAAACCCTACTTCGCATTAACTATCCATTTCACTGAAAAGACTGTTCTGAGTTTTTGTTTAAATGCTTTGCCCAAAAAACAATTAAAAACTTATGATGACAAATGAACACTAAATACCTTTGATTTAAATCACCACCATAATCCTCATCATCATTATCGGCATTATTATTACTATAATTAGCAATCCATGATTAAAAATTAGTTATCATTATTACTATTATATAATTTCTGCTATTGCTACTGTTACCTATCCTGTTAATTCATATTACGTATATCATTGTGATATAAAGCAATAACAGAAAGGTAAGATTTGGACATTTGGAAAGAATTTGGAATTGATGTAAAAGAAAAGAAACAATTTTTTTTTTCTTTTTTAGTAACTCCTATCTGCGAAATAAAGTTAATGCCGAGAGAATATGTCTTGTTATTTGATCTATTAACCTTAATGAACTATCTGATTGGTTAAATGATATTCGATGAGAGAGAGAATATTGTGTATATGTTCTGTATATTTGCGTAGAAAGTGAGCTTTTTTTGTCTTTTTCTTTTTTTTTTTTACTGTGGGTAGGTGATATATATTCATTTTCTTTTCTTTTTTTTGATACACATCCAGAGAATCATAATGTAATACAGCTGATAAGGCGAATCCGAGGAGGTAAATACACACACACATACAAACATATGCACACACACACATATGCATATGCATATATATATATATATATATATATATATATATATATATATATATATATGTATATATATATATATATATATATATATATATATATATATATATGTATATATATGTATATATGTGTATTTATATATACATGTATGATGTATGCATATGTGTGGGTGTGTAAGATATATATATGTGAGTGTGTGTGTGCATATAAACACACACATATGAATTTCATCACTGGATTCACATGACCACTTGAACGTTTATATGATGGACTGGAAACGTTTACAGATACCTCGCCACATAATGGTTTCCTCCTCTATCATGCAGTTTGTGGTGAAAATGTTTATCCATACTACCCGAGTTTACACTGAAAAGAAAACTTGAAGTAATATTTTCATATTCCTTGGAACTCACACATACACACACATATGTATGTGTTTGCGTTTACTCCCATAAATGTCTATCCTCATCCTACACCGATGATACATAACTTTCTTAATACCCTCATCTTCTATCAGTCATACTAATAATTATATATAGTTTTTTTTCTCTATTCTTAACATCATTATTGTTATTATGACAACAATATGATCATTTTCATATGATTAGGAGATATATTTAATTATAAGAAATTTTGCGTTTATGTGTAGCAATACTTGCATATATATAAATCTATGCTTGTAGCATAGCTCTATAAACATCCAAATGAGTGAGTTCAGTATATTTAGTTACTTTATTACAGCTCCATATATATATCTTTATTTTCCATGTTCATGTATATAAATCTGTTTCTATGACCAAATACAGGGATGCGCCTATGCCCAGTTTGTGTTTCTGGTGTTTATTATTTAAAGCATTAACCTATGGATACAGAGACGGATGGTAACGGACTGTAAGATAAACAGATTACTAGGTAAGAGGAACAAGAAAAAAAAAATGTGAAGAACCTATTTTCATTACATTTTTCAATTTTACATTTGATAGATTATGTTCAGTGAGTACAAACGAAAATATCAAGATAATTTACCGGCGACAAATCTGATATAGGCATGGCTTGAACTGCTTTCCCTCACAAGCACAGGCGAGTGACCTTGAACTCGTCCCAGCAGAGGATGTGGACCACTATATATACGGCTGAGACACTTCCTCGCCATCAAACATCAGCCATGTCTCTCAAGGTATGCACGCTTCTCCTTATTCTCCTCTGTAGCTGTAAATGTATGAGAGAGAAAACAGCATATATAACTTATATTGTGGTTCATATAGTGAACATAAATCTCGAGTTCGATTTCTGTGAATCAGTGGATTATTTGTGTTTCAGGTGATCCTCGTAGCATGTGTGGCGGCGGTGGCTCTGGCCGATAAAGCTCCTGTGCATCTGCCACCTGTTTACGTACCCACGTACCACGCTCCCGAACCAGTGTACCATGCCCCTGCTCACTACAAGGAGCCAGAGTATCCAACCGTAAGTAATGTGTGGTATGGTTACGTGGTCTAACGTCATCTAGCAAAGGTTCTTATGAAAATACTTCTATTTCTGTGGACTTGGATTTAATGCTATACTCTTTAATCAGGTCCCACCCAAGTACAACTACAACTACGGTGTCGCCGACGGTTACTCCGGCGCCAACTTCGGCCACACTGAGTCCCGCGACGGCTACAAGACCGAGGGCAGCTACACCGTCGACCTCCCCGACGGCCGCAAGCAGATCGTCAAGTACGTGGACAACGGCGACGGTCTTGTAGCTGAGGTCACCTACGAGGGCGAGGCTCAGTACCCCGAGTACAAGCCCACCTACAAGCCCGCTCCCTACCACGCTGCCCCCAAGTACCCCGTGTACTAAGGGCGTACATTCAGAGTCAGACTTCTCTGTTAGACATTTGCATCTGTCGTGCAGATGGAAGCTGCATGGATGGACGAATATGTGATACTCAATTAAATATTTTTTATAATAAAATAACCCGACAAAAATTGTATCTTGTTTATTGTGACCGAAATTGATGTTGTAGTCAAAGAAAAAAAGAAAAAAAAAAGGAATTATCAGAGTTCCCTAAGATACGCATCTCACGTGAAAAAAAAACGTCACTTAAAAGATCATCCAAAGTTTCTTAAAAAAAAAAGAAAAAAAATGCATGGAAAACACCGAAATTTAGATTTGCATCTGATCGTCTTATCATCACCGATATTCTAAAACATTATCGTAGCACATCAAGTAATCTGCATATCATTGAATGCTTTAAGGCATTAAATAAGATGATTTGATAACGATATCATTGTCGCTATTATATTGTGAGAATCACCTTCATCAGCTACATTGTCTATTTTATTGATATTACTTTCATTATTGTTATCAATGACAATAGTATCATCAATAGCTTTAATTGTATTTTATTAATAGCAGTGGTAGTATGAACGCTTTACTGATGAAGCAGACCAATTCATGTTGTCTTTAGCATACTACGTGTCGAAAAACCTATTCCAAACTGACTCAAAAAGCCCCTGAAATTGATTATGTTCGCGGCGCTCACAGTTAGAAATAGGTTTGGTTGGGTGTCCAAAAAATGCCGTGCTTTACCTTATTGACGCCATATTATAATGTTCTTAATACCTTCGTCTCTACCACTCCGATATCTTCTTTCGGCAAAATAATGAAGTCGGAAATAGGAACAGAGAAAATCTATTGATGATAATAATAACAGTAGTCATATTAATAATCATAATAGTGATAAGAATAACAAAAACAACAACGATAAGTCAGTTGGTTGATCGTAATAAATGCTCTCCGTATAATATGAATAAAGTACACTCAATATCAAACAGTGTACATTTCATTAGCGGATGGAAGTTTGTAAGAGGTATTAGAAACGTTTAGAGAACCCTCACCACATAATGGTGTCTTCGTCTTACAAACCGACCAAGCTGAATATTTGTGGTGATATGGTTTTCCATGTCACTGATTCCCGATCTTTATACCTGAAGGAAAACTTGGGTGTGTGTGCGTGTATATATACATATATACATACATATATATACTGATATACATATATACTAGTATGTGTGTCTGTGTTTATATACATAATCTATAAATTTCTCCTGATATTTCTAATGTTTATACCAAGACATAATACTTAACCATCTACTGTTTAGTCATAAGAAACATACATAGTATGATTTTGCAGATAAGTTCATTATCAGTTAATGAAGGCACGCTAGTATTATTCCCTCGTGACTGTCGATGCATTTACACACACAAAAAAAAATGCATCTGTGTGTAGCTATGCATGTGCGTATGTAAAATTCTATACTTATAAACAGCTAACATATTGAACTACGTGAATGTTGTGTATATAATTATGTATTTATATATATTCAAGTATGTAATTCTATTTTTATGACCATACATATGTATACACCTACTGTATGTCCAATTCATATCTTTTTGTCTATGTATGCATATATGTATAGATTTAGATCCAGAATGAAAAGGATAAACAGATAACTAAATAAAAAATAGGGAAAAAACTATTTTTTAAATTTGTCTATCATTTTTTTATTTGATAGTTTATGTTCAAAGAGTGAAATGAATAGAGAATTATATACCAGTAACAAATCTGATATAAGCATGGTCTGAACTGCTTTCCTTCACAAGCACAGGCGAGTAACCTTGAACTTGTCCAAGCAGAGAATGTGGGCCACTATATAAACGGCTGAGACACTTCCTCGCCATCAAACACCAGCCATGTCTCTCAAGGTACGAACGCTCTTCCTTATTTTCCTCTGTAGTTGTAATTGAATGAGAGAAAACAGCATATATAACCTATATTATGGTTCGTATAGTGGACATAAATCTAGAGTTCGATTTCTCTGAATCAATGGATTACTTATATTTCAGGTGATCCTCGTAGTGTGTGTGGCCGCGGTGGCTCTGGCCGATAAGCTCCTGTGCCAGTCTGCCACCTGTTTACGCACCCACGTACCACGCTCCCGAACCAGTGTACCATGCCCCGGCTCACTACAAGGAGCCTGAATACCCCACTGTAAGTAGTTTGTAGTATGGTTACGTAGTCTAACAGTAGTCATCTAACAAAGGTTCTTTTGGAAAGTAAGTCTATTTTTGTTAACTTGGATTTAATGTATACTCTTATTATACTCTTTAATCAGGTCCCACCCAAGTACAGCTACAACTACGGTGTCGCCGACGGTTACTCTGGCGCCAACTTCGGCCACACCTGAGTCCCGCGACGGCTACAAGACCGAGGGCAGCTACACCGTCGACCTCCCCGACGGCCGCAAGCAGATCGTCAAGTACGTGGACAACGGCGACGGTCTTGTAGCTGAGGTCACCTACGAGGGCGAGGCTCAGTACCCCGAGTACACCCCCACCTATAAGCCCGCTCCCTACCACGCTGCCCCAAAATACCCCGTATACTAAGGGCATACATTCACAGCCAGACTTCTCTGTTAGACATTTGTATCTGTCGTGCAGATGGAAGCTGCATGGATGGACGAATATGTGATACTCTTTAAATATTTTTATAATAAAATAGCCAGACAAAAATTATATCTTCTTTATTGTAACCAAAACTGCTGTTGCAGCCAAAGAAAAAAGAAAAAAAAAGAATTATCAGAGTTCCCTAAGATACGCATCTCACGTGAAAAAAACGTCACTTAAAAGATCATCCAAAGTTTCTTTAAAAAAAAGAAAAAAAATGCATGGAAAACACCGAAATTTAGATTTGCATCTGATCGTCTTATCATCACCGATATTCTAAAACATTATCGTAGCACATCAAGTAATCTGCATATCATTGAATGCTTTAAGGCATTAAATAAGATGATTTGATAACGATATCATTGTCGCTATTATATTGTGAGAATCACCTTCATCAGCTACATTGTCAGTTTTATTGGTATTACTTTCATTATTGTTACCAATGACAATAGTATCATCAATAGCTTTAATTGTATTTCATTAATAGCAGTGGTAGTATGAACGCTTCACTGATGAAGCAGATCAATCCATGTTGCCCTTAGCATACTACGTGTCGAAAAATCTATTCCAAACGGACCCAAAAAGCCCCTGAAATTGATTATGCTCGCGGCGCTCACTGATAGAAATAGGTTTGGTTGGGTGTCCAAGAAATGTCTTGCCTTACCTTATTGACGCCATATTATAATGTTCTTAATACCTTCGTCTCTACCACTCCGATATCTTCCTTCGGCAAAATAATGAAGTCGGAAATAGGAACAGAATAAATCTATTGATGATAAAAATAACAGTAGTCATATTAATAATCATAATAGTGATAAGAATAACAAAAACAACAACGATAAGTCAGTTGGTTGATCGTAATAAATGCTCTCCGTATAATATGAATAAAGTACACTCAATATCAAACAGTGTACATTTCATTAGCGGATGGAAGTTTGTAAGAGGTATTAGAAACGTTTAGAGAACCCTCACCACATAATGGTGTCTTCGTCTTACAAACCGACCAAGCTGAATATTTGTGGTGAAATAGTTTTCCATGTCACTGATTCCTGATCTTTATACCTGAAGGAAAACTTGGGTGTGTGTGCGTTTATAGATACATATATACATACACATACATATATATTAATATACATATATACTAGTATGTGTGTCTGTGTTTATATACAATTTATAAATTTCTCCTGATATCTCTAATGTTTATACCAAGACATCATACTTGACCATCTACTATTTAGTCATAAGAAACATACATAGCATGATTTTGCAGATAAGTTCATTATCAGTTAATGCAGGTTATGCTACTTTTCTGTCTCTGCATTACCGCCATGCATGCAGGTCTCTGGCTGCAGCTTTAAAGAAAATGCGGTGAAATTAGCGCATAATATTCAAGTATTTTTTTTTTTCTTTTTACAAGAATGCAGTCTTTAAGTACTAAATTTTGTGAAGGTACGCTTGTATAATTCCCTCGTGATTCCCTGCATGATTAGTACACAGTATTTACACACAATAATAATAATAAAAAAACTGCAACTGTGTGTAGCTATGCATGTACATATGTAAATATATACTTATAAAAGCTATTTGAACTTATTGTGAATACTGTGTATATAATTATCTATATATTCAAGTACGTAATACTAATTTTATGACCATATACATGTATACACCTAATGTATGTCCAGTTCATATTTTTGTGTATGCATATATGTATAGATTTATAGCCAGAGTGAAATGGATAAACAGATAACTAGATGAGAGATAGTAGGTGAAGAAAAAAACTTTTGAAATTTGTCTACCATTTTTTTATTTGATAGTTTATGTTCAGAGAGTGAAATAAATAGAGAATTATATACCAGCAACAAATCTGACATAAGTGTGGTCTGAACTGCTTTCCCTCACAAACGCAGGCAAATGACCTTGAACTTGTCCCAGCAGAGAATGTGGGCCACTATATAAACGGCTGAGACACTTCCTCGCTATCAAACACCAGCCATGTCTCTCAAGGTACGAACGCTCTTCCTTATTCTCCTCTGTAGCTGTAACTGAATGAGAGAGAAAACAGCGTATATAACTTATAGTGTGGTTTCTATAGTCAACATAAATCTCAAGCTCGATTTCTGTGAATCAGTGGATTATTTATGTTTCAGGTGATCCTCGTAGCGTGTGTGGCCGCGGTGGCTCTGGCCGACAAGGCTCCTGTGCATCTGCCACCTGTTTATGTACCCACGTACCACGCTCCCGAACCAGTGTACCATGCCCCTGCTCACTACAAGGAGCCTGAATACCCAACCGTAAGTATGATATGGTTAAGTTGGCTATCGTCATCTAACAATGATTCATATGAATCTACTTTTTGTGTGAACTTGGATTTAATGTTATACTCTTTAATCAGGTCCCACCCAAATACAACTACAACTACGGCGTCGCCGACGGTTACTCCGGCGCCAACTTCGGCCACACTGAGTCCCGCGACGGCTACAAGACCGAGGGCAGCTACACCGTCGACCTCCCCGACGGCCGCAAGCAGATCGTCAAGTACGTGGACAACGGCGACGGTCTTGTAGCTGAGGTCACCTACGAGGGCGAGGCTCAGTACCCCGAGTACACCGCCACCTACAAGCCCGCTCCCTACCACGCTGCCCCCAAGTACCCCGTGTACTAAGGCTGTACCTTCAGAGTCATACATCTTTGTCAGACTTTTGTATCTGCTGTGTCTATTCAATGTACAGCCAGATAAAAACTGCTTGGATGGGTGAATATGTGATACTGTATAAATATATATTTTTTTATAATAAAATATACAACAAATATTTATATATTGTTTATTGTGACCGAAATTAAAGCTACAATCAAAGAAACAGTCACTAAATTATAAGAATATAAAGAATGATAAAAAGAAAAAAAAAGTCATTGTATTGCTGTTATCCTTACTTTTTAAAATTATCCAGAATTTCTTTCTTTTTTTCTTTTTTTTTGCGAAACACTAAAATACATTCAAAATTGCATTTGATCCTCTTATCTCCAACATTGTATAGCCTTATCCTAGAACAGGAAATAGGTTGCAACTTGCATGAAAGCAATATTATCATAAACGTTGTTATTATACTGTTCTTTTTACTTTGTCAGCATCCACCATTATGAGCTTCATCGTCAATATTATTACTGTTACCATCATTATTGATAGTAGTAGTGTATCGTTATCATTAGAAGTTTTAGTAGTATCTGTATTAATAGTAGTAGTAGTTTAAAACCTTAGTATTCTTTATATCTAAAAACCTATTCCGTTTGGCCTCAAAACCCTTAAGAAGTTGTTTAATGAAGATCGTGGCGCTCATTATCAGAAACAGGCGTGTGGGGGGGGGGGGTCCTTGCCTTAGTCTATACCGAGGATATATGATAATAATGATCTCTCATTTTCTTCTATCATTCTTGTATCATTTTTGACAAAATAATGAAATCGGCAATAGAAATGAATATAATGATAATAATAATGATGTCTGATTTGGTTGATAGTACGAAGTGTTATTCACTCTTAGTTCGTTATACTATTCATTATGTAATGTACATTTCATCACTGGGTTCACATGGCCACTTGAACGTTTGTAAGAGGGATTGGAAACGTTTACAGATACCTCGCTACATAATGATTTCCTCGTCTTTCATGCAGTTTGTGATTTTTTTTTTATCCATACTACCAGAGTTTAATCTGAAGTAATAATTCTATATTCCAAGAAACTCACATACACACAAATACATATGCGTGTGTTTGTGTGTACTCATTCTACACCTATGATATATAACAATTTTCTTAATACCCTCATATTCTAGCAATTATATTAATAATTACTATTTTCTTTATTTTTATCGCCATTATTAATTATTATTGTTATAAAAATAATATAATATTTTTCATATCCTGATTGCGATCAATTTCATTATAAGAAATTTTGCGTGTGTGTAGTTATGGCATGTGTATGTATAGATCTATGCTTGTAAGTAGTTCTATCAACATATCTAAGTATATCTAATATAATCGTCCCTTATAGCAAGAATATACTGTAATATAAGTTTATTTATTGTATTTACACATAGATAACTATACAAGTATTTAATCACTTAGGAGTCAGTTATTAGTCCTACTTATCTCACCTGTTTACCCTTTTCCTCGACTTTTGGAAAGGGTCTTTTGCATTAATTGTCAGATGTTATCGAGATTTTGATAACAATAAATCTGATACAGGCATGGCTTGAAATGCTTTCCCTCACAAGCGAAGGCGAGTGACCTTGAACTCGTCCCAGCAGAGAATCGGGACCACTATATATACGGCTGAGATACTGCCTCGCCATCAAACATCAGTCATGTCTCTCAAGGTATGCACACTCTGTAACTGAATGAGAGAGAAAACAGCATGTATAACTTATATTGGGGTTCATAAAGTGAACATGAATCTCGATTTCTGTGAATCAGTGGATTATTTGTGTTTCAGGTGATCCTCGTAGCGTGTGTGGCCGCGGTGGCTCTGGCCGATAAAGCTCCTGTGCATCTGCCACCTGTTTACGTACCCACGTACCACGCTCCCGAACCAGTGTACAATGCCCCTGCTCACTACAAGGAGCCTGAATACCCAACCGTAAGTAATGTGTTGTATGGTTATGTGGTTTAATGTCATCTAAAGAAGGTTATGAAAATACTTCATTCAATGTTATACTCTTTAATCAGGTCCCACCCAAGTACAACTACAACTACGGTGTCGCTGATGGTTACTCCGGCGCCAACTTCGGCCACACTGAGTCCCGCGACGGCTACAAGACCGAGGGCAGCTACACCGTCGACCTCCCCGACGGCCGCAAGCAGATCGTCAACTACGTGGACAACGGCGACGGTCTCGTAGCTGAGGTCACCTACGAGGGCGAGGCTCAGTACCCCGAGTACAAGCCCACTTACAAGCCCGCTCCCTACCACGCTGCCCCCAAGTACCCCGTGTACTAAGGGCGTACATTCACAGTCATGACTTCTCTGTTAGAATTTTGCTTCTGTCGTGCAGATGAAAACTGCATGGATGGACGGTATATGTGATACTCCTAAAATATTTTTATAATAAAATAACCCGACAAAAATCATGGCTTGCTTATTGTGACCGATATTGATGTTGAAAAAAAAAAAAAAAAAAAATCTGAATTTTCAGAATTCACGAAAATAGGCATCGGAAATGAAGTTAAGGGGAAAAAGTCACTTAAAAGATTATCTAACGTTTCTTAAATAAATAAATAAAACTTGCATGGAATACACGCCAAAACCCATTCCGATCTGATCCTCTTACTATCCTCTCCAGCATTGTAAGACAATATCGTAGCACATGAAATAGTTTGCATATTACTAAATGCCTTAAGACTTTCAATGACTATTTGATGTTGATATTGTTGTCGTTATTACATTGTGAGAGTCACCATCATCAGCTTCATCGTCAATTTTATTGTTTTTTTATAGCTGCACTTGCATTTTTTAGTAGCGGTGGTAGTTTGAACGCTTCACTGATGAAGCAGATTAATCATGCTGGCCTTAACAACATGATTAACAAAATCAATTTCCAAACAACCTCAAAAAGAACTAGAAATTGTTTATGCTCGCGACGCTCACTGTTAGAAATAGGTGAGGGGGTGTTGTCCAAGAAATACCTTGCCTTACCTTATTGATGCCATTTGATTATGTTCTTAATACCTACGTCTTCTATCACTCCGGTAACTTTCTTTGGCAAAATAATGAAGTTGCAAGGAAATCTGTTGATAGCAATAATAATCATATTAATAATCCTAATAGCATTTAATCAAAAATAACACCAATAATGTCAGTTGGTTGATGGTAATAAATGCCCATCATATAACATATATAAAGCACTCAATATCAGTGTACATTTCATTATCGGATGGACGTTTGTAAGAGGTATTGGAAACGTCTACAGAACCTTCACCACATAATGGTGTTCGTCTTATAAACCGATCAAGCTGAATATTTGTGGTAAAATGGTTTTCCATGTCACTGATTCCCTATCTTTACACCTGAAGGAAAGCTTGCGTGTGTGTGTGTGTGTGTATGTGTGTGTGTGTATGTGTATGTCTGCGTGTGCATACAGACAATTTATAAATTGCTCCTAATATTTCTCATGTTTTTACTAATAGGTTATCAGAAGCTACAAATATTTGTCTTCCCACACGCCAGCATTCTTGACCATCTGCTGTTTAGTTTACATTAGAAACGTACATAGCATGATTTTGCAGATAAGTTCATTATCATTTAATGCAGGCGATGCTACTTTTCTGTCTCTGCATCACCGTCATGCATGTAGGTCTCTGGCTGCAGCTTTATAGAAAATTCGGTGAAATTAGCGCATAATATTCAAATGATCATTTTTCTTTTACAAGAATGTAGTCTTTAAGAACTGAATTTTGTGAAGGTACGTTTGTATTATTCCCTTGCGTAACTGTTGATTTTTATTGCATGATTAGTTCACAGCATTTACACAAACATACAATAATAATAAAAACAAAATCTGCACATGGGTGTGTAGCTATGCATGTATGTAAATCAATACTTATCAACAGCTATTTGAAAATATTCATTTACGTGAATGTAGTGTATATGATTGCGTTATTATATATATCCATGTATATGATTATATTTTTATGACCATATACATGTATACACCTATTTTATGTTGTTCATTTTTTTTTTTTTTTATGAATACATATATCTATATACTTATAGCCAGAATGAAACGGATAAGCAGATAACTAGAAAAGATTCTCTTTCATAGTTTATGTTCAGTGAGTGAAATAAATAGAAAATTATATACCAGCAACAAAGCTGACATAAGTATGGTCTGAACTGCTTTCCCTCACAAGGTCAGGCGAGTAACCTTGAACTTGTCCAAGCAGAGAATGTGGGCCACTATATAAACGGCTGAGACACTTCCTCGCCATCAAACGTCAGCCATGTCTCTCAAGGTACGAGCGCTCTTCCTTATTCTCCTCTGTAGCTGTAACTGAATGAGAGAGAAAATAGCATACATAACTTATATTGTGGTTTGTATAGTCAACATAAATCTCGAGTTCGATTTCTCTGAATCAGTGGATTCTCTATGTTTCAGGTGATCCTCGTAGCGTGTGTGGCCGCGGTAGCTTTGGCCGATAAAGCTCCTGTACATCTACCACCTGTTTATGTACCCACGTACCACGCTCCCGAACCAGTGTACAATGCCCCTGCACGCTACAAGGAGCCAGAGTACCCAACCGTAAGTAATGTGTGGTATGGTTACGTTTTCTAACGACATCTAACAAAGATTCTTATGATAATACTTCTATTTCTGTGGACTTGGATTTGATGTTATGCTCTGTAATTAGGTCCCACCCAAGTACAACTACAACTACGGCGTCGCCGACGGCTACTCCGGCGCCAACTTCGGCCACACCGAGTCCCGCGACGGCTACAAGACCGAGGGCAGCTACACCGTCGACCTCCCCGATGGCCGCAAGCAGATCGTCAACTACGTGGACAATGGCGACGGTCTTGTAGCTGAGGTCACTTACGAGGGCGAGGCTCAGTACCCCGAGTACAAGCCCACCTACAAACCCGCTCCTTACCACGCTCCCCCCAAGTACCCCGTGTACTAAGGCTGCACCTTCAGACTCATATCTTTGCTAGACTTTTGCATCTGCTGTGTTCAATTTAAATACACTCAGATGGAAAACTGCATGGATAGGCGAATATGTGATACTCCTAAAATATTTTTTATAATAAAATGTATCGAAAATATACCATCTACTTCTTTCTCTAACCAACTTAACCAAATTGATACTTATGACAAAAGTCTCTAAACCGTAGGGAAAAACCCTACTTCGCATTAACTATTCATTTCATTGAAAAGACTGTTCTGAGTTTTTGTTTTAAATGGTTCGTCCGAAAAATAATTCAAAACTTATTTATGATAACAAATAAACATTAGATACCTTTGATTTAAATCACCACCATAATCCTCATCATCATTATCGGCATTATTATTACTATAATTAGCAATCCATGATTAAAAATTAGTTATCATTATTACTATTATATAATTTCTGCTATTGCTACTGTTACCTATCCTGTTAATTCATATTACGTATATCATTGTGATATAAAGCAATAACAGAAAGGTAAGATTTGGACATTTGGAAAGAATTTGGAATTGATGTAAAAGAAAAGAAACAATTTTTTTTTTCTTTTTTAGTAACTCCTATCTGCGAAATAAAGTTAATGCCGAGAGAATATGTCTTGTTATTTGATCTATTAACCTTAATGAACTATCTGATTGGTTAAATGATATTCGATGAGAGAGAGAATATTGTGTATATGTTCTGTATATTTGCGTAGAAAGTGAGCTTTTTTTGTCTTTTTCTTTTTTTTTTTTACTGTGGGTAGGTGATATATATTCATTTTCTTTTCTTTTTTTTGATACACATCCAGAGAATCATAATGTAATACAGCTGATAAGGCGAATCCGAGGAGGTAAATACACACACACATACAAACATATGCACACACACACATATGCATATGCATATATATATATATATATATATATATATATATATATATATATATATGTATATATATATATATATATATATATATATATATATATATATGTATATATATGTATATATGTGTATTTATATATACATGTATGATGTATGCATATGTGTGGGTGTGTAAGATATATATATGTGAGTGTGTGTGTGCATATAAACACACACATATGAATTTCATCACTGGATTCACATGACCACTTGAACGTTTATATGATGGACTGGAAACGTTTACAGGTACCTCGCCACATAATGGTTTCCTCCTCTATCATGCAGTTTGTGGTGAAAATGTTTATCCATACTACCAGAGTTTACATCGAAAGAAAAACTTGAATTAATATTTTCATATTCCTTGGAACTCACATATACACACACATATGTATATGTGCTTGTGTTTACTCCCATAAATGCCTTTTCTCTTCCTACACCGACGATATATAATTTTCTTCATATCCTCATCTTCTATCAATCATACTAACAATTATATATTTTTTTCTCTATTCTTATCATCATTATTATTAACATTGTTATTATAACAACAATATCATAATTTTCATATGATTAGGAGATATATCTAATTATAAGAATTTTGCGTATATGTGTGTAGCTATGCTTGCATATATATAAACCTATGCTTGTAGCATAGCTCTATAAACATATCTAATTGAGTGAGTTTAGTATATCTAATTACATTATTACAACACCATATATGCACATTTTATATTTCCATGTTCATGTATGTAAATCTGTTTCTATGACCAAATACAGGCATGCGCCTATTGTGTTTCTGGAGTTTGTTATTGAAAGCATTAACCTATGGATGCAGAGACAGATGGAAACGAACTGTAAGATAAACAGATTACTAGGTAAGAGGAACAGGAAAAAAAAAAAAACATGTGAAGAACCTATTTTCATTACATTTTTCAATTCTACATTTGATAGATTATGTTCAGTGAGTACAAACGAAAATATAAAGATTATTTACCGGCGACAAATCTGATATAGGCATGGCTTGAACTGCTTTCCCTCACAAGCACAGGCGAGTAACCTTGAACTTGTCCCAGCAGAGAATGTGGGCCACTATATAAACGGCTTAGACACATCCTCGCCGTCAAACGTCAGCCATGTCTCTCAAGGTACGAGAGCTCTTCCTTATTCTCCTCTGTAGCTGTAACTGAATGAGAGAGAAAACAGCGTATATAACTTATATTGTGGTTTGTATAGTGAACATAAATCTCAAGCTCGATTTCTCTGAATCAGTGGATCATTTATGTTTCAGGTGATCCTCGTAGCGTGTGTGGCCGCGGTGGCTTTGGCCGATAAAGCTCCTGTGCATCTGCCACCTGTTTACGTACCCACGTACCACGCTCCCGAACCAGTGTACCATGCCCCTGCTCACTACAAGGAGCCTGAATACCCAACCGTAAGTAATGTGTGGTATGGTTACGTGGTCTAACTTCATCTAACAAAGGTTATGAAAATACATCTATTTTTGTAGACTTGGATTTAAAGTTATACTCTTTAATCAGGTGCCACCCAAGTACAACTACAACTACGGCGTCGCTGACGGTTACTCCGGCGCCAACTTCGGCCACACTGAGTCCCGCGACGGCTACAAGACCGAGGGCAGCTACACCGTGGACCTCCCCGACGGCCGCAAGCAGATCTTCAAGTACGTGGACAACGGCGACGGTCTTGTAGCTGAGGTCACCTACGAGGGCGAGGCTCAGTACCCCGAGTACACCCCCACCTACAAACCTGCTCCCTACCACGCTGCCCCCAAGTACCCCGTGTACTAAGGCTGTACCCTCAGACCCATATATCTTTGCTAGACTTTTGCATCTGCTGTGTCCATTTTAAATACACTCAGAAGGAAAACTGCATGGATGGGCGAATATGTGATACTTAAATATTTTTATAATAAAATCTATCAAAAATATTTCATCTACTTTTTTCTCTTACCTACCCAAACTGATACTTGTGACAAAAGTCACTGAATCGTAAGGAAAAACCCTACTTAGCATAAGCTATCCATTTTATTGAGAAAACTAGCTTTTTTGTTTTAAATGTTTCGTCCGAAAAATAATTCAAAACTTATTTATGATAACAAAGGAACATTAAATATCTTTAATAATGATCACCATAATCATCATCATTATCATCATTACACTAACTATAATTATCAGTGTTATCACTGTTACTATTATATAATATCTGCTATTTCTGCTGTCACCTTTCCTATTAAATATCATTGTGATATAAAACAGTGACACAACGTTAAGATTTGGAAATTAGGAGAGAACTGATGGGACAGATGAAAGAAAGAGAGATAAAAAAAAGTAAAAACTGCTGCATATGATATTTAGAAATCTAGTAACAGGCTTATGATCGAGTCTAACAGTATGAAATTCGGGCAAGTCATAAGGAAATATATGAGAGACAGATTCAGCAGCTGTACCTTGATTTGGATACCATAGTAGATGACCTCATCAAATTTCACCTTCTATCTCCCCTCCCTTCTCCCTTCTCCCCTCCCCTGTAGTAACTCCCATCTGCGAAATAATGATAATGGTTTGTTATTTGATGTGTTGACCTTATTAAACTATTTGTTTGGTGAAATGATATTCAAAGAGAAAGAGAGTATTGTGCATATATTCTATATATTTGCATAGGTGATCCTTTTTTCTCTCTCTCTTTTGTGTGTGTGAGAGGTGATATATATATTTAATGCATAATGTAATACAGTAGATAAGTCGGATCTGAAAAGGTAAACACACACGCGCACACACACACACATATACATATG